GGGGAAAAGTCAGCTCAGGAATGTTAAATCAGAAGCTTCAGCAAAGGAAAAGGTGCGTATTCGGCTGCAGGAGAGCAGATTTCCACAAAGCTTCACTGACTGAATGTGTCATGAGTTGTGGTTTTTCCCTGTGGGTTTGAGTTTTTGCCATTTGTTTCTGGTGTCCTTCTGTTTACCTGTTCTTCTCGTTTCCTTGTCCTTGGTGTTTATGTCTTGTCTGGTGTTCTAGCTCGTAGTCCTGTGTTGATTTGATATGGCTTTGGTTTGAAGTTTGGTTGTCTAGTTGTAATATTGTTTCTTAGTCACTGCCTTAACTCTTGTTCCTGCGTTTTAGTTCTTTGTGCTTGTTCCCAGTCCTGTACCTTAGTTCATGTTAAGTGTTAAGTTCATGCTGTGTGCTGTCCGGTTTCCAGCTATCCTCGTCGTGTCTGTGTTTCCCTGCTCGTTTTGGTTTTCTGTTCAGCTCTGTATCAGCCACTCAATCAGTAAGTGTGCTCGCCTTCTGTTTGTTTTAATAAATCACCTCGATTCACTGCACCTCCTCTGCCTTGCGTCTTGCATTTGTGTCCTCCAACCTGCTCAACCTGCTCAACTCAGCCACCCATCGTAACAGAATGTAGCTACAGTAGCTACAAAAATGCAAAAATAAGCACCAAAATTATGGATGAAGTCAATAAGGGTATTTTTAGTATTCTTGTACCCCCTTAAAAAAAATGGTTCCATCTACCTTAACTCCAATGTGATTGGCCAGCAGGAGGTTCATGTCTGCAAGATAAATCTGCAGAATATCACACATGAAGACACTTTTGTCAGCTGATGTTGATCATGTCAGGAGACACAGAAACTACTGTCAGTCCTTTTAGAAAAAAGCTGTTTTCCATTTTTTTTCAGGACTTCATTAAACATTTTGTGCATCTGCACTCATTTCTTCTTGATCAAAAAATGGTTCACCTTTCTGTCTGTGTGAAGCTGCTGGTGTGTCTGCGGTTGCAGGAGGGCAGAGCTTGTTTTAATCTATGCTGAAGTCAACCTTAGCATGAAATGTGTTAGCATTTGTACTGTCAATGGTTAAAGTAAATGACTGATTAGAAATTGACACAGTACCATTATTTGCATCTAAATCAGCCCACAGTCAATTCAAAGTGTAAAACGACAAGAATACAAATTTATAAAAACTGTTTAAGCTGTCACTTCGATAAATATTGTATATATTGTAGGCTACTACAAGTGAGTTTTTCTGATGAGAACGCGTTGGCAGGACAGGTACAAAAATAAATAAATAAATAAAAATAAAATAACGTGCCGTTTCAAAATGGCGGTTTCGAAACGCAAGCATTTTATTTTGAAAGTCTAACTGGACATTGCATATTTGTTGTTGCTAAGCTTTGCTACCTTGACTGGACAGCCTTTGTCTAAACATCTAAAAGCAACAAGGGCCTTGACCAAGCCTCAATTAGTGATGGCAAGTTCGACTCTTTAATTGACAAAGTATAATGCACAAATTCATCTCTTGATCACTCTCTATCATCATTATATCAACCCCCCTGGGCCCACAACCAAATTCAAACCATGGAAAAACCACAGAAATATGTAATCACCACTACTCCGGCTAAATCCTTCCATTTTCACAATCTTTCCTGAGTATACAACCAGACCAGCCACATAAATCATTATCATTATCTCTAATGTGCTCATTCATACAGTAGCCTAACATCTGTGGTGTACGGAAAAAGGTGCGAAGGAATGCATTCTTGTTGACTGGATAGCTACCATGTGTGTGTGAGAAATAGGAGAAGCCTTGTGTGTGTGTGTGTGTGGAGAGCTGCCTGGACACCACACATCCCTATCCATGAGTAAAATATTCATATCAGATTTGTGTATATAGAAGTAATAAGCTTGATACACTATATGAATAAACACACTCTTATTAAAATTCAACCAATTTAATAATAATCTGGATCAAGCCACCAAGTTCTTAAAGAACTCCAGCACAGAGAGAGGAACAAAGAAATATTAACACATTATATAAATGCAGCAGTTTGGCAGGTCTGGACGCAGAATGGGCCACATCAGGTCCGGATTCTGCAGACAGAGAAACACACATGAGCACATCGCTCTCAAACACTGCAGGTTGTTCACCAGTCACGAGCTGTGAAACAACAGCAGGGCTCTGTAGGTAAATAAAAAAGGAAAAGTTATGTTGCGTTCTCTGGCAGACCTGGATCAGCTGTCAGCTGTTTACAGGGCTAACTGTAACGTTGCTACGTTGCTGTGTTTTAATGACCGGTCTGTTTGTTTTGGAGAGGAGACGACCTCTGAGGTAATTCAGCTCCCGGTAGATCCCTGTCAGTACTCTGAAGTGGAGAAGACTCAGAACAACTCTCATCAGCTGTAAACACTAGCAGGACTAAAGTTAGGTGCGGCTGTGTTAAAACTATAACTAAGCACAACATCACTGTCAATAATGTTATGCTTATTAAAATGTCACATAATTAACAAAATAGCTAAATAATATCAGTCCAGTGACTGTTACCTGACAGCCGACCTGCCTCTCATTCTCCAGCTCTGGCAGTCACTCAGCCTGCCGAGTGAATTAAAGACTGAGGAGGGCCCATGTGAGCGGTGAACGAGTACTTCATTCCTGCTACACAGTAGGAGCTGTCACATGACAAATGAACGACTCAAACCTAGAGACCCACAGTTAAAGCCCTGAATTATCTGGTAAGTGCAAGAGGCTGTAAGGGCCCAAAATAGCACAATGGGACAGCATCGCACTTTGCAACATATCATGTTAGGTTACCTTGATTGAACCAAAACAATTGTGGGCTTGGAACTTTTCATTTTACATTTTTTACTTCCTTCACAGCTGAAGGACAGAAGGGACCTGATCTGAACGTGTGCAGGCTCTTGCCCAGTAAACTGATTACTTGATAATTAACTGTGGACAAGAGGTAATGTTTACGCTGGTAACCACGTTTAACGTAACAACGCTGTGGGCAATTCCCTTTGGCAAAGTCTTCAGAAGTGTACATTTAGGGCTCAAAAATTCTGCTAGAGAGCCTTCATGTACAATGCCTATAAAAAGTATTCTCCCCCTTGGATGTTTCACCCTTTTGTTTCTTTTATACATGAAATCATGGTCAATATATGGCTTTTTGACAAGAATTTGCAAAAAGAGAACTCTTTAATATCAAAGTGAAAAGGATTTTTACAAACTCATGTCAATTAATTAAAAATAAATAAGGCTAAGAAGATGGGACAGAGAATGGCCGTGTTTCGGAGCAGGCATGTCAGGTTGTGGCAGCATGTGTGGTGCTCCATAACATCTCAGCTATTAGAAAAGAAAAAGCACTGTGCCAGCTGCTTATGCCCCCTGATGTAGTGGACTCATATAGCCGATAGAGAGGCTCTAACAATCAATCAACCAATCAGTTTCTCATAAACACACATGACAATATTTTTGGTTCCTAAAAATGGCAAATCTATAGAAATAGGCTACCTTTTTGTCATGTTCAAGTTATTCAATTTGCTGTTTGAGATATTTGGTTTGTTGCTGTTTTTTGTTTTTTTTTGTCAATCTAGCTCAAGCATTCTCTTTTAGAGCAACTGCAAGTTATCACATCCAGCCAGCACAGAAAAACAAATTGAGAGAACAAACATAGAAGGCAGGAATTAGTGTTACATATTGTCAGCATGACTAGTCCTTTTAATAGCAAAGGGAAAGCTACCCGGTGGGATCTCTCAGAGGCCTGAGAGGAGGTAGCTGTGGGTGGAGAACTGGTGCAATTTGCCAACATAGCCTAGTATTAGCCTATGTTACTCAATGTTAAATGGAAATATAAGTACAAGAGATGAAATGGTCAAATTGATGTGTGTCAGACATGGCTGACAGGGTCACCTCACCCATGTTCTCCTGTTTGTTGCCAGGAACAGTTTCTACTGGGGTTGCAGCTGAAAATATTGTAAGAAAAGGACTTATTAACACAATATTACATTTATACATGTAGTCCTTCAGCCAATGTGCTTGAGTAGATGTTAATTTATAAAACAATAAGCAACGGGTCAATTCTAGAAATGCAGCCCATGTGTAGGCTATGATTAAATTGTTTCCCCACATTAAAATGTACTGAATAAGTGGTCTTTTAAGATCTTAAACTTTATGTTTATTGTTTGTTTGTGTTGCCACATATACCCACTTAAGTGAACTTTAACCGACCCACCACCATCAGGACAGCAGAAGTCTCCTCATCAGAAGAACAGGTTTGTAGCCTGATCTATTACAACTACTGATGATTAGCTATTAACCTCAGGTAAATACTGCAAATGTAATGTCTCTGCCACATAATGCTAGTTTAGTATTTATACTTAAACTCCCTAAACCATAAACATGCACTCTGGCTTAGGTTTGTCTTTACAGGTAGCCTACATTTGTCAGAAGTGACCTACAGAGCCCAGTGACGTAGAACGTATTTGTTATGAATAGATACAGAGGTAAAGTGTTAGATTGTAATGTTACATGTAGCACAGTCACTTATGTAATGTAACTGTGAGGATGTGAGAGGTTTGAAACAAACACATATTGAAGTGAACTGTAAGAGTTTCCTGCAAACAGGCCAGCACATCAGCAAAGGGATGACTCCTGCCAGACCGAGCCAAGATCTGTGAGCTCACAGCAAGAGCACACAGTTTAGTTTTCATTCATGGCAGAGACATGTGCTCCTGATCTGAACAGAAGTACATTTGTGTGAATAATTCTTTATATATTTAAATTTAAATAATTGCTCCTTTGTTCTATTGGTGGAACTTCATGACGAAGGTTTGCAGCATTGATGCTCTCCCCTTTTCTGTCCTTGAAATACATATTAACTTTAAAAGTGTCTAACGAGATAACTAATCTGTCTAGTATCTAAACTAGTCTTTAGATTGTTTTACTGGCTGAAGAACAGTGAAGTTAAACCCTTAAAAACATCAGGTCTAAAACAATCTCACAGACCAGCTTGTTTCAATGCTTGAGCCTTTTAATTTGTGTAAAGACAAGAAAGAACAGTTCACTCTGCAGAATAAGTTTGTGCTAAAAAGCATTCTTTTCATAACACATTCAGTCTGCTCCTATGAAAGGCACAAAGCCTCAGAGACAGTCCAGATCTTCTAAATTCACTTGTCGCTTCGTTCCCTAAGTAGCGTTACAGCGATAGAAATTAAAATAAAGACATGAAATGAGATATAGAGCCTTCGGGGTACATATGAGACTGATGGCATGAAGAGAGATGAGTTTAAAGAACATCTGCCCGTGTTTGTGATTTTTCCAGGTGCTTCATGCCTCTGTGTCAGCCCCGGAATTGGAAGGATTTCTTAACACAGACAGATGGAAGGTGACTGTTACACTGTACATCATCCCAGCATTTGTCACCTGTGTGTATGATAAAGAACTGTTAAGCAGAATGTATAATTTCATGCAGATGGAGAGTAAAACTAAATATTTTGTCTCATTAAAATAATAAATGGAGAGGCTTTTCAGCCTTGGCAGAGGTATGTTCTGAAGAAAAGATGGGTTCATTTATGAACTGAGCTCACTTATATAGCATTTATTATGAATCATGGTACATTTATCTCTCATGCAAAATAATGTGGTTTATGATTTACCTCCATAATTCATTTGTAAACAGTGCTGATATCCAGTGTTATTTGGCTCTCCCCTGCACCAGTATGAAAAGGCGAAAGGCGTACCATCATTCCACAGCCAAACACCCTCCTAGAAAATTTTAGTTAGTTAATTAGAGTTAATACAACAATATAACAATATAACTAAAATAAACAACTTTATACTATTAACACCATAAACACTTTGTCATAAAAACACTGTCATTACAAAGTATTTTTTACAGCATCAGTCATTAAAGAAACAGCCCCAAGACGGTCTGTTTTTTGTTCAAGTAACAGAAAGTCGGGTGACGTTGTTATAGAGTGACAAAGTTTGCATTGGGAGGAGGTCACATCTCATGGCCTTCCTCATCAAATGGACGTCAAACTATGATTTGAAATGTGACCTTTTGTAACAATAAATGATATGACGGGGCGGCTGTGGCTCAGGAGGTGGAGCGGGTTACCTGTTAATTGAAAGATTGCCGTTTCAATCCCCGGCTCTTCAGGGTGCGTGTCAAAGAGTCCTTGGGCAAGATACTGAACCCAAAATGGCCCCTGGTAGCTGTTTCACCAGTGTATGAATGTGTGTGAATGGTGAATGTGATGTAGTGTAAAATATATACAAATACAGAGCATTTACATATACCTGTGCAGCGTCAGTGGCTCCAAGCCATGCCTGCGTATTCCCATGAGTACTATCGGATATCAGCCTTTGAATCTGATGATACTCCTCAGCTCCACGTACGGATGCGAGGTTTGCACCTAAGGACTGACAGTTTCTCTGCAGTGGTGACAAACAGACAAATCCATAAAAATCCACACAAACGGAACAAGCTCAACTTAAAAGAACTCCGCATCGAATCCAAATCATCTTATACCTCAGCTTGAGACCAAGTCATGGCTCTTGGAACGAAGAGGAAACAGCGACCATTTATCTCAGACCAGCGACCAGAACAAAACGTGGCCCTCTTGACCAGGTGACTCTTTGCTGAGAACAAATAGAGTTTGGTGACTTTTGAAATTTTGATACCTAAAGATTCTTGTTAATGTCAATGAGCCAATAAACATGCAGCATGCTTAATGTGCCCATATCTAAAAGTGATTGTAATTGGCTGTGGTGATGTAAATACCCAGCCCTATTTGCAGGCGAATAAATAATAACAATAATCTCTCACTCGCTTGTTTTTCTTGATCACCTGCTTATCTACGTCCTGTCAGTGTTGATGAGTGTTTTCACAAGTTCCTCTTTTGTGTATTTAAGTGTCTGTCTTTACTTTAATTGTTTTGGGATCGATTTGTTTGTATGTGTCGTAAAGTGTCCCTGTCTGTTTCCATGGATTATCCCCTTGTATTTTGGACTATTTTCTGGATTACATTTTTTGGGCTTCTTGTTCTTGTTTATTCCCTGGATTGCCTGCTTCTTCACTTTTTTAAATTAAACTCACTTTGTGAACTGTAACTGAACCTGCTGTGCTTTTACTCATTACCTGCCTACCTACACTTGGCAACCACAACAGATTAGCAGACAAGAACAATCAAGAGAACAGATGTTTTCCTCTAAACAAAGGTACAAAGGTCAAGAGGCCAGAACAAAAGTGGAAACGAAACACACTCCTTTTGCCAAGTATGTTGAAATGGTGGTTTAGTCCAGCAGAGCGTGTGCGCTGTTTATCTTTGACCTTCATTCAAAGTGTTATAGTTGCATTTGTTGTGCCCTTAAGAAGGGGAAAAGTAACGGGATAGGGTTTAAACAAGAGTCTGTTTCTCAGTGGCGTGGGAACACTTTGTTCTTATAATTAATCAAAATCAGCCATTTGTTGACACTGGCAGAACATTGGCATGTCTACAGGGCATGAGCGGTGAGTTTAAGAGTGAGAGGAAGAGCCATCTGACAATCAGACAGAGGAGCATCAAGAGAGCTGAACACATCTGTGGTGAGTTTCTTATTATGCCAGAACGGGGCAACAATCTGAGCTCTCTAGTTATGGATATTATATTGCGTTTCTGTCAGTAGATCCTCCGAAATATTACACACTGAACCTTTAAAAACACATTGGACTCTTAATACAGACATTGAATTGTTTGGACCAAATACACTGACTAGACGTTGACGGACAAAAGTTTTTATATATTGGTAGAGACATATCTGACGCCCTTGCACTTCTAACTCTCACATTTCCAGGTCATATTCTAGCTGTGGAAAACTGAGTTACTGAAGCTTGAGACATGCGTCCAGCTGTGCTAAATGCCATCCTCCGTAATCATAAGTACTATAACATCACCAATGCATCATGAAGCTGAAGCCCAGAAAATGTTTATTCAAGCACGTATATTCCTACAGATCATTCAATTGAGGTAGAATGTGAAAGTTATTCAGATAAGCCATGTGGAGAAGGATGAAGCCACATTGATGAGAGTCGATGTGCTAAATACAACGGAAGCGAAAAGAATTTCCAAGAGGTACAGGTGAAGCAAACACACACAGGCATCAGAAGAGCGATAATAAATCCATCATCATATATAATACGTTTTGATCAGGTGCTGGTGAACACTAACACTTGCTCACATTTGTTGATTTTAGGAACACTGCAGAACCTTAAATTCTGACCTGGTGTTAATGGCGCATTATAAAAAACATCAACTGACTAATTTCATTGCAGACTTGGAGCAGAGAGGGGGACATGGACATAAGTGTGGACGTGATATGAAAACTGTCTGTTACTCTGCAGCTCTGTGGTCGTGGGTCACTCTTTCACCAAACTAAAACCAGCTTAATAGCCTTGTTAAATCATCATAAACAAAACGTAATTCAGACTTGACAGAAAAGTAAACTAAACAAGACCGTTGCAAAATCTCCAACTATCATTTGGAGTTAAATGTGAAAATGTTCTGTCTCTTCATGCTTCCACTGTAAGTCTAGATGCCACTGAATGTGATGTATTCTGATTTCTTTTCTCCAGATGAGGGAAACTTGAATGGTACATACTGCTCAGAGAAGAAGAACTACGAGTGCGTCAAGAAGATGTGATCATCACCAGCTGATGTTTGCTTTCACATTTTCAACAACAACTAATCTGTGCTGCAGTTGGACAAGTCTGTTTCATGGTAACCACTATGAACAAAAGCTTTTTACTGCAAGTTACTGCAATAAACGCTTCGGCGTTTATGTTCCGGCTTCTTGTTTTTGTGGTTTTTTTTCCAGATGCATTTTTTTAACACAACTGTGGAAAAACAGCTGTTCAGATTTCATGGTGATAGCATTGTCATCATTCCACAGCAAGACTGCAGAACTCTAATGAGTTTAATATTATTTGTCTTATTCCGTGTCTGATATTTCTGTGAGCTGGAGTGAGCTAGAAACACTCAACTTGCGCCACTAACTGGAAATGATGCGCAACTGCATCCACATAAATATGTGCCTGCCAAATTATGGTGCTGTAATTAAGCTCCAAAAATGCTATTTTGTAAAGTCTCTCACACGTCCAATTGACTTGAGCACAAATCCAGTAGAAGTCAAATGTGCTCTACTACAAACCTCTTGGACCATAAAGTCTGTGGATTATGATAAAATTTTTGGTAATTCACAAAATGAGAAAAAACAGTTAGAACTTATTGAATTTAGACTCTAACACAAAAATTGGGATACACATTTCCATTACAATTAGGCAAGATTGGTCAAAAAATACTGCCACCATCAACAAAAATAGTAATAGTAATAGTAATAATACAAAGGGGTGGCTTAGCAAGAAATTGGCCTTAACTCATTGATTTGTCCAGTCATAATAACTCTTCAGAGTGTGATTGGTATCACTCAGAATTTCACTAACTCTGACTATTTTTGGCTTCGTGAAGCCTGAAACATTTCTGCCTGTGGCTTTAATTTTGGCCTGTCGAGCTGCTTCCTTATATGCAGTGAAAAGAGTTTCCACTCTGTAGCCCTGGGGGAAATGGTCCCTCATTGACATAAACACACAGACTGTAGTTCATTTTGACTCAGTGCCTCATACACCATCCTGCTACCCCAAATACTCAAAGAAGCAGCAATATGTGAATTAATCCTCAGCTTGTCCACAAAAAAATGCTACTTTCTCCAGTTTGTGTAAAGTTTGCCAAAAACTATAGTGTAAATTACACCATCCTTAATTACTCCTTTTCCACAGTCTATTGGAAAATCACATGCATCTGTACCTGTATGCATTTGGAGTAATCAGGATTGACTCATTCTGCTTTATTTTACCTTGACAGTCCCTTGACAAAGTTCTCCGTGCTGTTGATAGTGTTTATTCAGCATTCAGCACATGTAATCTCACCTCATATCTTAGACTGCAGAACAACGTCACTAAGGTCTCCCTTCTTCAGTGCTCATCTCTGCAGTCTTTTCACCTGTACAAAGTCGACACCTGGCCACATAGAGGGAAATCAAAGTCCTGAATAAAAATATGAAGCTCTGATTTTACTGTTTTCACGATGGGCACATTTGCTGCTGACATTTGTGGTGCCTAAACCTAAGCACACTGCATGTTAGCCACATGTTTAGTATTGTTAGTAGGAATGAACCCAAATCTGAAATATGGGAAAACACAAATAATGTGATGGAAACTAATATTTTCTAGCCAAAGTTACTCGTTATTTGGGGGGAAAAGTCAGCTCAGGAATGTTAAATCAGAAGCTTCAGCAAAGGAAAAGGTGCGTATTCGGCTGCAGGAGAGCAGATTTCCACAAAGCTTCACTGACTGAATGTGTCATGAGTTGTGGTTTTTCCCTGTGGGTTTGAGTTTTTGCCATTTGTTTCTGGTGTCCTTCTGTTTACCTGTTCTTCTCGTTTCCTTGTCCTTGGTGTTTATGTCTTGTCTGGTGTTCTAGCTCGTAGTCCTGTGTTGATTTGATATGGCTTTGGTTTGAAGTTTGGTTGTCTAGTTGTAATATTGTTTCTTAGTCACTGCCTTAACTCTTGTTCCTGCGTTTTAGTTCTTTGTGCTTGTTCCCAGTCCTGTACCTTAGTTCATGTTAAGTGTTAAGTTCATGCTGTGTGCTGTCCGGTTTCCAGCTATCCTCGTCGTGTCTGTGTTTCCCTGCTCGTTTTGGTTTTCTGTTCAGCTCTGTATCAGCCACTCAATCAGTAAGTGTGCTCGCCTTCTGTTTGTTTTAATAAATCACCTCGATTCACTGCACCTCCTCTGCCTTGCGTCTTGCATTTGTGTCCTCCAACCTGCTCAACCTGCTCAACTCAGCCACCCATCGTAACAGAATGTAGCTACAGTAGCTACAAAAATGCAAAAATAAGCACCAAAATTATGGATGAAGTCAATAAGGGTATTTTTAGTATTCTTGTACCCCCTTAAAAAAAATGGTTCCATCTACCTTAACTCCAATGTGATTGGCCAGCAGGAGGTTCATGTCTGCAAGATAAATCTGCAGAATATCACACATGAAGACACTTTTGTCAGCTGATGTTGATCATGTCAGGAGACACAGAAACTACTGTCAGTCCTTTTAGAAAAAAGCTGTTTTCCATTTTTTTTCAGGACTTCATTAAACATTTTGTGCATCTGCACTCATTTCTTCTTGATCAAAAAATGGTTCACCTTTCTGTCTGTGTGAAGCTGCTGGTGTGTCTGCGGTTGCAGGAGGGCAGAGCTTGTTTTAATCTATGCTGAAGTCAACCTTAGCATGAAATGTGTTAGCATTTGTACTGTCAATGGTTAAAGTAAATGACTGATTAGAAATTGACACAGTACCATTATTTGCATCTAAATCAGCCCACAGTCAATTCAAAGTGTAAAACGACAAGAATACAAATTTATAAAAACTGTTTAAGCTGTCACTTCGATAAATATTGTATATATTGTAGGCTACTACAAGTGAGTTTTTCTGATGAGAACGCGTTGGCAGGACAGGTACAAAAATAAATAAATAAATAAAAATAAAATAACGTGCCGTTTCAAAATGGCGGTTTCGAAACGCAAGCATTTTATTTTGAAAGTCTAACTGGACATTGCATATTTGTTGTTGCTAAGCTTTGCTACCTTGACTGGACAGCCTTTGTCTAAACGTCTAAAAGCAACAAGGGCCTTGACCAAGCCTCAATTAGTGATGGCAAGTTCGACTCTTTAATTGACAAAGTATAATGCACAAATTCATCTCTTGATCACTCTCTATCATCATTATATCAACCCCCCTGGGCCCACAACCAAATTCAAACCATGGAAAAACCACAGAAATATGTAATCACCACTACTCCGGCTAAATCCTTCCATTTTCACAATCTTTCCTGAGTATACAACCAGACCAGCCACATAAATCATTATCATTATCTCTAATGTGCTCATTCATACAGTAGCCTAACATCTGTGGTGTACGGAAAAAGGTGAGGCAGAAGCATGCTTTATAAATAGTGTGAAGGAATGCATTCTTGTTGACTGGATAGCTACCATGTGTGTGTGAGAAATAGGAGAAGCCTTGTGTGTGTGTGTGTGTGGAGAGC